TGTATCATTCAGTAAGTTCTAATAGCAAAGTTTGTATCATTCAGTAAGTTCTAATAGCAAAGTTTGTATCATTCAGTAAGTTCTAATAACAAAGTTTGTATCATTCAGCAAGTTCTAATAACAAAGTTTGTATCATTCAGTAAGTTCTAATAACAAAGTTTGTATCATTCAGTAAGTTCTAATAACAAAGTTTGTATCATTCAATAAGTTCTAATAGCAAAGTTTGTATCATTCAATAAGTTGTAATTGAAACACCAGTTGATGTAGGATTGCAAAGTTTGTATCATTCAGTAAGCTCTAATAACAAAGTTTGTATAATTCAGTAAGTTCTAATAGCAAAGTTTGTATCATTCAGTAAGTTATAATTTTATAGAAATAGCAAATGATTGTAATATTGTAAAATAAGTACAAGTCACTCCATCATTCCTTTACTGTAGAATTCTAAATATAAATTATTTTTTTCACAGGGATTTGAAAGGTTGATTAACCCAGAGGTATTACATTTATTATGGTTGATGATGTTTAATGGCTAGTTAACTCTGTTATTAGTATGTATTCAAGTGAAAAAAGCTCAAGTGAAGTAATTTTTGTTCTTATTAAATAGAACTTGAAAAGGAACCCAGTGTGACCCCTATATCCCAAATTTCTCTGTGTTATTATTCATGCTTAATTTTCTGTTGTGACAAAGATGGAATTTTATACTGTTTCAGTGATATTACTTTAACAAATATTTTAGGATTTTATTACAGTTCCTATTTTTGTTGTGATACTTTGCAATACTGAATTTATTATAACATTAGTACTCGTATAATGTATGGATTTTATGTCATTGAACATACTTTGTACATACATGGTTGTTGCTTCTCTTCATTTCTGACCAATAAACATCTTCCAGTAGGACAGTGGTAAGTCTACAGATTTACAATACTAAAATTTGGGATTTGATTCCTCATGATGGATACAACAAATAGCCAAATGTGGCTTTAAAAAATCTTCCCATTTCTGCCTATTAACTCTAGATGGTAATACTCTTTCTGACAAACAGTCTCTCCATTTCTGCCTACTAACTCTAGATGGTAATACTCTTTCTGACAAACAATCTCTCCATTTCTGCCTATTAACTCTAGATGGTAATATTCTTTCTGATAAACAGTCTCTCCATTTCTGCCTACTAACTCTAAATGGTAATACTCATTCTGACAAACAATCTCTCAATTTCTGCCTATTAACTGTAGATGGTAATATTCTTTCTGACAAACAGTCTCTCCATTTCTGCCTATTAACTCTAGATGGTAATATTTTTTCTGACAAACAATCTACTTTATTTCTCTGGCTTCCATAAAAACGTTTGCATGAGTGAATTAGAAGTTTTGTGTAGTTTTTCAGTGAAGATATGTAGTACACATAATTGTGATTATCAATGTGATGTTGGTGGAATTCATACCATGTACATACCCTTTATTGAATCAAACACATTCTGTGATAAAGTAGAGGTTGCAGCAAATGATTGAACAACTTAAGTCTCTGTAAAAATATGTGACCATGTTTACTTATTATTCATCTTACTATATTGTTATTAAGAAATTTGGATAAAAGTCAGGTAAGTATTGTGATTAAAACAAAATGATATAAAAAGTAATGTACACATTAATGTAGACAATTTTATGTAACAAATTGACTAGAAATCAGAAATGTATAATGATTTGAATGTCTTTAGTCACCATCATTAGAAAACTGAAACATTTAATGATTTGAATGTCTTTAGTCATCATCATTAGAAAACTGAAGCATTCGATGACAAGAATGCCTTCAGTCATCATCACTAGAAAACTAAAACATGTAGTGATCAGAATGTCTTGAGTTATCATCACTAGAAAACTAAAACATGTAGTGATTAGAATGTCTTGAGTCATCATCACTAAAACATATAGTGATTAGAATGTCTTGAGTCATCATCAGTAGAAAACTAAAACATGTAGTAATTGGAATGTCTTGAGTCATCATCACTAGAAAAGTAAAACACGTAGTGATTGGAATGTCTTGAGTCATCATCACTAGAAAAGTAAAACACGTAGTGATTGGAATGTCTTGAGTCATCATCACTAGAAAAGTAAAAATACGTAGTGATTGGAATGTCTTGAGTCATCATCACTAGAAAAGTAAAATACGTAGTGATTGGAATGTCTTGAGTCATCATCAGTAGAAAAGTAAAATACGTAGTGATTGGAATGTCTTGAGTCATCATCAGTAGAAAAGTAAAATACGTAGTAAGTGGAATGTCTTGAGTCATCATCACTAGAAACTAAAACACGTAGTGATTGAAATGTCTTGAGTCATCATCACTAGAAAAGTAAAACACGTAGTAATTAGAAAGTCTTGAGTCATCATCACTAGAAAACTAAAACATTTAATGATTAGAATGCCTTCAGTCATCATCACTAGAAAACTAAAACATGTAATGATTAGAATGCCTTCAGTCATCATCACTAGAAAACTAAAACATGTAGTGATTAGAATGTCTTTGGTCATCATCACTAGAAAACTAAAACATGTAGTGATTAGAATGTCTTTGGTCATCATCACTAGAAAACTAAAACATGTAGTGATTAGAATGTCTTTGGTCATCATCACTAGAAAACTAAAACATGTAGTGATTAGAATGTATTTGGTCATCATCACTAGAAAACTAAAACATATAGTGATTAGAATGTCTTTGGTCATCATCACTAGAAAACTAAAACATGTAGTGATTAGAATGTATTTGGTCATCATCACTAGAAAACTAAAACATATAGTGATTAGAATGTATTTAGTCATCATCACTAGAAAACTAAAACATATAGTGATTAGAATGTATTTGGTCATCATCATTAGAAAACTAAAACATGTAGTGATTAGAATGTATTTGGTCATCATCATTAGAAAACTAAAACATGTAGTGATTAGAATGTATTTGGTCATCATCATTAGAAAACTAAAACATGTAGTGATTAGAATGTATTTGGTCATCATCATTAGAAAACTAAAACATGTAGTGATTAGAATGTATTTGGTCATCATCATTAGAAAACTAAAACATTTAATGATTAGAATGGCTTGATAATCACTAAATGTTTTAGTTTTCTAGTGATGATGACCAAATACATTCTAATCATTACACGTTTTAGTTTTCTAGTGATGATGACCAAATACATTCTAATCATTACACGTTTTAGTTTTCTAGTGATGATGACGAATGGCTTGAGTCATCATCACTAGAAAACTAAAACATATAGTGATTAGAATGTCTTTAGTCATAATCACCAGAAAAGTAAAACACATAGTAATTAGAAAGT